TAAATTTTAGTAAAAACAAAATAATAGTCCCCTTTTCTGAGATCAATGGTGAACTAGTGGAGAGGGTCTCAACATATAAATACTTGGGAATTGAAATTGATTCAAAATTAACTTTTAATGAATGTGCTCTGAACAAAACTAAGAAAATGCACCAACGGATGTACTTCCTTAGAAAATTATATAATTTTAGATTGGAAAGATACATTCTTGTAATGTTTTATAAAAGTTTCCTCCAGAGTGTTCTGTCCTTTGGCCTTGTCTGTATGTTTGGCAACACGCATGTTAAGGACCAAAGGAAACTGCAGCGCATGGTTAAGATGGCCAGCAGGATAATCGGAATTGACCAGGTGTCGGCAGCTCAACTGTACAAAGAGCTTATCTTGAAAAAAACTGATCAAATCCTCAATGATCCTTCTCATCCTTTACATCATAAATTTATGAGAAGCAATAGGTCAACTGGTAGAATCTTACAGCAGAGAATTAGAACAGAAAGGTACAATAAATCATTTGTACCTACAGCGATCAGACTTTATAATGATCAAGCACAACGCAAGTTATCAAAGTTTTAGTTACTGGATAACATTATACATTTTTTTTAACGTTAAATGTTGGATTGTGATTGTCAATTCTGTAGTTTTGTCATTTCTTTTTGTTTTTATGTATTGTTTTTATGTTTTTTAAAGAATATGTTGTGACAAGGGCGCAAATGAATGACCACATTAATTTCCCCTTGTGGGATAATAAAGTTTACCTTGACCTTGACCTTGACCTCTGACGCTACTTGGCGTATATCTTCTTCGCCGTTACGTATGTGTGCTCGGCAAGACCGTTTTGTGTTTGAGCGCCCCCAAGCTGTGTTTTACTGTAACTTCAGAAGCTCCAGACATGTGAGCAAAAGCGCCAATCTCATTGGTCGGATAGTTTTTGACGCGGCGCGTCAAAATAAAAAAACGAACCTGAGGCGTTTTTTAAAAAAAGGACGCTTTTACGCGTGGCGTTTTTCGTGTCGGTGTGCACACTCACATTGGCGCCCTGTGTTTAGTCATGAGGCGTTAAACGTCGGCGAATATCGCGCGCGAAATTCGTCCCGGTGTGAACAGGCCTTTAGTGTTGACATAAAATGATGGGAAATCGCTGAACTTCACGACCCGTGACCCTAGAAGAGCGATCACTGATTGGCTATAGCCTACATAAAAAACAATCTCGTTTTAGAGATGAAAATAATGTGATTGACGTCACTACTTTCAGAATAAAAAGTAAAAAGTGCGATATTCGTCTTTCAAACGTAGTGAAGTTAAAGTAAAAAGTTTCCAGAAAGAATAATCCTCAAGTAAAGTACAGATACTATAAAAGTGTATCTTTCTGGCCACCTTTTAGCACTTTTCCCAACCAGTTCTGAGGCAAAATACTGGTTTCTGACAGAATTTAACAGATAAAGTTACACTAAACACAATTAATGAAACTAGAACTGGAACTGAACAATGACTACATTGAATTGGGAATTATCAGATAATATCATGTTTTTTTGGGGGGGGGAGTTCAATCAGTACAAACTAAATGTGCTGTAAATCAACTTGTTAAAAAGAGTAATTAATTTGAGTCTCTTCACGTCTTCTTTTGTTCTGTTTATATTCAGTTCTGTAAATTCTTTTCTAATTGTATTAATTATGTTTAGTATATCCATTTATCGGTTTAATTTGTCACCCTTATTAAGATCCTCAGTGTTTTGTCCGACTGATTGGAATTGCAGAAATTAATTGATAGTTAAATATTTAAAGATTACGCACAATTCAGTTCTATAAATTAGGATGTTTAGTGTGAAATCATCTGTTTAAGATCATTTCGTCACACTAATTGAGATCCTCAATGTTTTGTCATAGAAAAATACTTAAGTTTTTTTTTAAATTATTATTAATATAGTTAAATATTTAAAATAATTCCCAATTCACTGTAGTTATTTTCAATTCAATTCTATAAATGAGTGTTTTCTAGTATTATTACTTGTCTTTAGTGTAAAATCATCCGTTTAAGTATATATCTGTCTCTATTTTAGATCCTCGTTGTTTTATACCAGATAAATTGGAATTGGAATTGCAAGAATTAAGTATTTAGTGTAAATATTATATAGTATAAAGTAAATATTTAAAGATAATGCCCAGTTAGTTTTGTTGTGTGTAGCTGTGTAAATAACCAGTGTAACTAATTGTTCAAATGTGCGGATTGGCTCGTTTAACTAGTTTAAACCATGTAGTTTTGTAAAGTACCTTCACTACACTTAAACACAGGTGAACTTTGACCTTTACTCGTACCACCTGTCAGATACAGATATGCCCTGGACAGCTGTGTGTGTGTGTGTGTGTGTGTGAGCGGAAGGAACAGTCCAGCCTGAGGTGTGTTTAGTAAACACAGGTTCACAGAAGCAGGTGTGTGTCCGTATGTTCTCCCATCATGTCGTGTTTTGACCGTCTGAAACATGCAGACGTCTTTCTTTTCTTTCTTTTAGTTTTAAACGTGGTATTTTTATTTTTTTTAGCAATCGCTCTCTTTGTGTTTTCTTGAATGTTTTACTACCGTTTCTTAGATCCAATTTCATTTTAGGGTCAGAACAATCGTGACTGTGATTGTTCAACTGTATGTAATGAAGTTGTGTTTTTTATTTTTATGGAAGTGTTTTATTCAGAATAACAAGCATGAAAACACACACCTCTCAGTGACGAATCCTGGCTCTTTCTGTGCTGTCCAACTCTTTCGGGGACTCACACACACTGTTGTGTTTGTGTTTGTGCTTTGCTCAGGGTCACTACTCTTTGGTCTCACACATATGGCCCGGTTTCCCCTTAAAACACACCACATCTCTCATGCATAAACATCGTGACCCTGAGAACGTCGTCCGGCGCCTCTGTCTCCTGAGATCCTACGCTTCAGGAACTCAAAAACGGGGCCAATCTCTCAGTTTTAGTGCCGATTTAAGCATCACGCTTGTGTGTGTGTGAAGTCATGTGTGTGTCACGGCCCTGTTTGCTTTGGGAGTGTGTGTTCCGTTAACTCAAGTGTTCTGGAACCCGAATGGTTTCGGGCCAGCAGCGTCTCCATGACAACAGTGGCCCTCCCACACACACACACACACACACACACACACACACACACTTGACCCGACCCATTCTGTCCCGACTCGGCGTTCATACACACTACGAAGAGTTTCTGTCTGTATGGCGTGTGAATGCTTATTATTCAATTTTTATGTTCATTGTAAAACACTTTCATTATTCAAATAAGGTGGTGTAATAATATTCTAAATATTAAATAATTATTCAAATAATGTGATGCAATAATTTTCTAAATATTAAATAATCATTCAAATAATGTGATGCAATAATTTTCTAAATATTAAATAATCATTCAAATAATGTGATGCAATCATTTTCTAAATATTAAATAATTATTCAAATAATGTGATGCAATCGTTTTCTAAATATTAAATAATCATTCAAATAAGGTGATGCAATAATTTTCTAAATATTAAATAATTATTCAAATAATGTGATGCAATAATTTTCTAAATATTAAATAATCATTCAAATAATGTGATGCAATCATTTTCTAAATATTAAATAATTATTCAAATAATGTGATGCAATAATTTTCTAAATATTAAATAATTATTCAAATAATGTGATGCAATAATTTTCTAAATATTAAATAATTATTCAAATAATGTGATGCAATAATTTTCTAAATATTAAATAATCATTCAAATAATGTGATGCAATAATTTTCTAAATATTAAATAATTATTCAAATAATGTGATGCAATAATTTTCTAAATATTAAATAATCATTCAAATAATGTGATGCAATCATTTTCTAAATATCTAATAATTATTCAAATAATGTGATGCAATAATTTTCTAAATATTAAATAATCATTCAAATAATGTGATGCAATAATTTTCTAAATATTAAATAATCATTCAAATAATGTGATGCAATAATTTTCTAAATATTAAATAATCATTCAAATAATGTGATGAAATAATTTTCTAAATATTAAATAATCATTCAAATAATGTGATGCAATCATTTTCTAAATATTGAAAAATCATTATTTTCAAGTGATGCAACCATTTTCAAATATTGAAGTCATTATTCAAATAATAATTTTCTAAATATTAAATAATCATTCAAATAATGTGATGTAATAATTTTCTAAATATTAAATAATCATTCAAATAATGTGATGCAATAATTTTCTAAATATTGAAGTCATTATTCAAATAAAGTGATGAAATAATCATCTAAATATTGATCAATCATTTTTCAAATAATGGGGTGAAATAATGATCTGAATATTGAACAATCTTTATTTAAATAATGTGATGCATTGATTTTCTAAGTATGAAATAGTCATTATTCAAATAATGTGATGCAATAATTTTCTAAATATCGAACAATCATATTTTCAAATAATGTGATACAGAAATTGTCTAAATAATCATTAATAATATAATAAATAATTATAATAATAAATAATCAATTCTGCAATCATTTTCTAAATATTGAATATTAATACAAATAATGTGCAGATGTGCTGTTTTTATTCATATTAATGATTGTCTCTCTGTTTGTCATGTGAATGTTTCTTCATATTATAATAATAATAATAATAATAAACCCTAACATGAACACTTAACAGGACCTTAATGTAAAGTGTTACCAAAATGTCATTTTTAAAAACATAAATGTGTGTTGGAAAAATGATCTAGTTTAAATATGTAAAAGGTTGAGATTCTCAGTGCATGATGGGTAATGTGTACATCACTGTATGTCAGAAACTCAAGTTATGAATATGAACATATTTAAATAAACAGTATTATTCACTGCTTTAAAATCAATCTTGTACTGAACAAATACAATCAAATCACCTTCAACATGTGCAATGTGGTCTCTGTGTTCACTGAGATTATGCTGTTAATGATCGTGTGTGTGTGTGTGTGTGTCAGTGTTGTGAAGGTCCTGTTGGAGGCGGGTGCCGATCCGAACCTGGGCGATGACTTCAACAGTGTGTACGAGACGGCTCGAGAGAAGGGCGTTCACTCATTAGAGGGTGAGGCGACGAACACTCATACGTTATGCTTCACCATCATCATAATCTTCATTGTTATTCATAAAAACATCCATGCACACATGTAAACAGCAGGAGTGTGTGTTATTACAGAGATCAATTCTAACGCACTCATTTTGTGCTGTTTGCATATCGGCACACAATTTATTTAGCAGCATGATGTTTGTAAGTGTTTTTCTCTCTCTCACACACACACACACACACACACACACACACACACGTGCAGCGTTCACGCTTGTCATATCTGGCTGCTGTATGTATATTACTCACATTTGTTTTGTTGGCAGTTTTTTGGTCTTGAAGGAGCATCTTTCCCTGAAGCACCATGATGAATGAGAGTGAGTGAGTGTGTGTGTGTGTAATATGAGAATATTCCATGCGACCGTGTGTGTGTGTGTGTGATGGATCGCTGGGCTCTGGCCGTCTGACGGTTTATTGGGTTTAGTTGTGATTATCTGGCTCTCAGACATTAGTTTCTCGTGACGACCCGCCTGACAGCAGCCCAGAGAGAAAATATGTTTGTGTACACGGACAGAAGAGAAACACTGTTGCTGCTTTATGATTTATGTGTGTGTGTCCGCACTGGGGGAATAATCGCACGCTTTACGCAAGCGGTTTTACATGCGTTTGTTCTTAATTTAAACGGTTTGTCTTGTTTTTAAGAACGCCGTTGAACATCATCAGACACTCTGTGACTCTGTTTCAGTGTTTGGCTGTGCAGTGCGGATCAAATCCGATACAAATAACACAAAAATAGCCCAGATCGAGTAGCTTTAAAGATCCCATGAAATCAGATTTCCTGTTAAAACAGGAAGTTGGGCAGGACAAGTGGAACGCCCTCTTACAGGATGATGTCATCAGTATTTTTGGAGCCAGTTTTCCCAAATGAGTTATATATTTTCATTAGGGACGCACCGTTATGAAAATGTTGGCCGATAACCGATAATTCTTTAAAGCCGATAACCGATATATCGGCCGATAAATCTAAATCCACATTTTTGAGAGCCTGATTACAAAAGCAAAAGTCTCACCATTAAAAGCCACGTCCCAAACACACACTTATAATGTTCTCGTTATGATGTCATGTAGCCGATATGACAGATTCGCGCTGCTTATGAAGTGATTTCAATCATATTATATATCAAGCAATTCATAATCCTCATGTTGAACATTCACATCTGAGGAGTCTCAGCTGAAGGAAATAATACATTATTTGTCGGCTTTAATATATCGTTCACATTTTCCTATCAGGCCGATAACATTAAAAATGCTCATTATCGGGCCGATACCGATATGGCGACCGATATATGGTGCATCCCTAATTTTCAGTTTGCATATTTGAGACTCAAAATCTGATTTCATGAGCTCTTTAATTAAAGGGGGGGTTGATTATGATTTCACTTTTCTAACTGTAGTTAGTGTGTAATGTTGCTGTTTGAGCATAAACAACATCTGCAAAGTTACAACGCTCAAAGTTCAAAGCAAAGGGAGATATTTGCTTTTAAAGAAATCGTTTTTTAAGGACTACAACAAACGGCTGGTAGGGACTACACGAGCTTCCTCCCGGGTTAGTGACATCACTAACCCTAAAATTTACATAAACCCCGCCCCCGGGAACGCAGTCCATGTTGAGAAGAGGAAGAGCTGTTGTAGTCACTCTGTGTGCATCTCACAACAGATCCTATACAAGCGATTTATAGATTATCCTGACAGAATATGCTAATTGAATATAGTTAACTCCACATCAGCAACATAAATTCATCAACTAACCATTCAGAGATGTCTTGTTGCTTATGTTGTCACTTCTTCTTCTTAGTCTCTCCATCTTTGTCTGACTCCGGTTTAAACATGAAAGGCAGAACAGTTTCTGACATTTTAGCGTGTGTCTGCGTGAGGTAATCGGAGCTGCTAACACACACACACTCTTGAAGCTCCGCCCACTGTGTCGGGAGCTGCAGCTCATTTGCATTTAAAGGGCCGGACACAAATCTTTTCAAAATCAAAAAAAAAAATTTGCTAACCCTCAAAAAGTGACAACTTTAACATGCTATATAAAAATATCTGTGGGGTATTTTGAGCTAAAACTTCACATACACACTTATTTTACATCTTGTGAAAAGGGCATTATACCACCCCTTTAATAAAAATGTTATTAAATAAAATGACTGTATGGTGTAAAATTAGAAATGAATAATCAGCAACATTTCTTTTAAATTCAAACTAATTATTATATCGGTTAGTAATGGAAATTATGCAAACGGACAATTAGTATTCATCATCTATCTTCAATTATGATATATTTGAGCATAAAAATATATGAGACTAGAATATAAAAATATATATAGACTTTTCCTGAATCATGAGCGCTTTGACTCGTATAAAAAAGTGGATTCAAATAAAATGTTAATTAAAATTAACTAAATTTAAATAAATTATTATATTAATTAGTAACATGAATTGCACAATTAAATGTCTTTAATCTGGTTGTATTACTGTCTGTGTTATTGTCGTATTTTCTTCACATAAACTGATAAGATTTGATGAGCTGGTAAAACGTCTTAAATCAATTATTATTATTATTGTCATCTTTCATGAGTATATTTGCATTTTTAAGCTTAAAAATATAGACTTGACCTGGAAGACACAATACTTACATTCTGATTTCATGAGCTCTCACAAATAAAGTGAACGCAAATCCAATGTCATCATAGAAAAAGGGTTTAGGAAAAAGTTTACATCAATGTAAATGGTGTAAAATTGGAAAATAACAATCAGCAACAAAATTTAAATAAATGATTATATTAATTAGTAACATAAATTGCGCAATTGCATGTCTCTCGATCTAGTTTTATCATCGTTCGGTGTTACTGTCGTAGTTTCTTCTCATGATTTGACGAAGTCTGAATCCGTTATTATTCAGTGGTTAGTTCCTGTAGTGTAACCGTGCTGTGTGTGTAACTTTTTCACTCTACTAAAGCATAAAAATACCATAATATGTTTGCATATATTGAGGAAACATGCTAAGTTCACATACTCGTTTCTCTGAAAACACTTCTACAGCCAGGTATTTTCATTGTCAATTGCGATCGTTCCTGTTGCGTGTCTCAAACTGGCGACCCGTGTGAGCGTCGAGTCCGAGGAGGCGGGGAAACAACAATCTCTGATATTTTGAATTTGGACTGCAGTACCTATTTCAACCACTAGCTGTCAATCTTACAGACTGCACCTTTAATTGTCTCTGATAATAAAGCAGCGCTGGAATTACCTGATGTTCACAACTCTGTGTGTGTGTGTGTGTGTGTGTGTGTGTGTGTGTGTGTGTCAGTGCTGGTGAGCAGAGAGGACGAGTTCAGTAGTCGTCTGAGCAGTCGCGCTTCCTTCCGGGGATGTTCGGCTCTGCATTACGCCGCTCTGGCCGATGACCTGCGGACCGTACGGATTCTGCTGGACGCAGGTGAGGAAACACACACGTCTACACACAGGCAGTCTAACTCGGGGAACAGCCCTCCATTAAGCTTAACAACAAGCAAACTAGCCTGGCGTTGGTGTAAAATAACGTCATGCAAGGTCCTAAATGCCACCAAAATGAATACAAATGCCCCAAAATTGCCCTTGTATGAGTTCTTGTGTTTTCTGTTTAAAAGCAATATCACACGAGCAAAAGTGCTAGTTTCCCGAATATCAGCACTATTGTGATATTATTTAATACAACAGTTCAATAAAATATATAAACTGACAAATTTTTAGACACAGCATTGTCAATTTTGACTGTTTTTACTCTGTTTTGTCAACAAAAATAAACAAAGCAGAAAGGTTGCGTCTCCCAGCAACACACAGCGGTGTTTCGTTCTTAAATGATTCACTGTATCTGAATGAATCGGGTGAGTGAATGATTCAATGACTCATTTATAAAGTCAATGTACACTTGCTTCCTTTTTGAATGATTCACTGTATCTGAATGAATCGGGTGAGTGAATGATTCACTATATCTGAATGAATTGGGTGAGTGAATGATTCACTGTATCTGAATGAATCGGGTGAGTGAATAATTCACTGTATCTGAATGAATCGGGTGAGTGAATGATTCACTGTATCTGAATGAATCGGGTGAGTGAATAATTCACTGTATCTGAATGAATCGGGTGAGTGAATGATTCACTGTATCTGAATGAATCGGGTGAGTGAATGATTCACTGTATCTGAATGAATCGGGTGAGTGAATGATTCAATGACTCATTCATAAAGTCAATGGACACTTGCTTCCTTTTTGAATGATTCACTGTATCTGAATGAATCGGGTGAGTGAATGATTCACTATATCTGAATGAATCGGGTGAGTGAATGATTCACTGTATCTGAATGAATTGGGTGAGTGAATGATTCAATGACTCATTCATAAAGTCAATGGACACTTGCTTCCTTTTTGAATGATTCACTGTATCTGAATGAATCGGGTGAGTGAATGATTCACTGTATCTGAATGAATCGGGTGAGTGAATGATTCACTATATCTGAATGAATCGGGTGAGTGAATGATTCACTGTATCTGAATGAATCAGGTGAGTGAATGATTCAATGACTCATTCACAAAGTCAATGGACACTTGCTCCTTTCATAAAAGGAATCAGCCAGTTTGAACGAATCGGTTGAGTGAATGATTCTATGATCCGGTTATTATGACTTGCCGCCACCTACTGGCTGTTATAGTTTCAAATATAATAGTATCATTTAATTTTTCCCATCATTTCATATTTCTATAATCAAAATATTATTAATTGGAACATTAATCTCATAACATGGATTTTGTTGATACTGATTTTGTGTTACATTTTAGACACAATATTGTAGTTCAATTCCAGTTGATTCTGTGATAAATAAATAAATCGGTTGAGTGAATGATTCAACGACTCACTCATTAAGACAGTGACTTGCTGCCACCTACTGGCGGTTTTAAAATCATAGTTGAAATATAATTATAAAAAAAATTAATTTCAGTATTAAAAATATTATTTTTAAACCGTAATCTCATAGCATTATTTATGATCGCAGTGTAAATGCTGCTTTAGATGCCACTTCAGCAGTGCAAAAATGTATTTAGTTTTCATTCGATTGTTAACAGCCTATTGTTTCTTATAATTCTAATCTAATTTATTGCTTAAATGTAAGAATGTGACATAAAAGATGATGCATTTATCTAATAAGCTTAGAAAAAAGCCCTTTTACAGGTTAAAAAAAAAACAATTTAAGGACCAAATAACAGAAAAGTTACAAAATACAGCTAAATATCATCAAATTATTGAGGTATAAAATAGAGATGTGCTCAACCCTCTAGCACTAAGTATTGAAAATGAGTAAAAGTGACTTTTATTTTCACCTGCTGGAGCAGAAAAACTCTCTCTCTGTCTAATATAGAGCAGCGTCTCTTCCTGTTCGCCCGAGGCCGTCAGGCTTAACCTTTGACCTCTGGAGTGTGTTATGTGACCCACACATGAGAGGTGACAGGAAGGTGTGTGTGATGTGATTTACATGAGTGTGTTATTATAGCCACAGGGCACACACACACACACACACAGTCGCGCTGTGTAACTCTTCAGAACGCAGTGTCTCCGCCTGATGTCTGGTGTGCGGTCACACACTCACTTTAAGCTTCAACACGTCTTATAAATCACTGGATGTTTTCTGGAGCAGACGCATTTTTAGATTAAAGTGACAGAAATGACCCGAAACAAAGAACAAAATCGCTCGTTTTGATGCCGAGAAATTGGATTATGGCGTGGAGCGCATTACCCATGAGTCTCAGTGGAACGAGGCCACGCCCCCTCAGACAGAGCAGCGCCGCGAGTCGCGACGAGGTGTATCTATCACAGCGATGACATCATCAGTGTGAGACAGCGCCATGCTAATGCAATGAGAACGAGATTACAGGAGCGTCTGTGTGTCTGTCCTCCTCGAACCCTGAAAGATGAACATCACTACAGCATCAACATGGAAACAGAACTATTAATAATAATAATAATAATATATATATATAGCACCTTTCTTCATACGTTGAATGCATAGAAGTGCTTGCTTTACATGAAATGTTTCTGAAAGAGTCTCTTCTACTCACCAAGGCTCAAAAATACATTAAAAACAGTGAAATATTATTTCAAATGTAAATCAGCTGCTTTCTATGTGAATATATAGTAAAGTGTCATTTATTCTCAAGTTTTGGTCATAATCATGACTTTTTTTTATATCTTAGTTATGACCTAGTATCTCAGTTAACTTTGTCATAATTTCAAGAATTTGTCATAATTATGACTTTTATATCATAGTTATGACTTAGTATCTTATAGTTTCAACTTTTTATCTCATAATATTGACTTTTTGTCAATTTTTGGATTTTATTATCATAATTATCACTTAGTATCTCATAATTTTTTGTCATAATCTCAAGTTTTTGTCATAATCATGACTTCTTATATCATAGTTATGACATCGTGTCTTAAAGTTAACACTTTTTATCTAATAATATTAACTTTTTGTCAATTTTTGGATTTTATTCTCATAATTATCACTTAGTATCTCATAATTTTTTGTCATAATCTCAACTTTTTGTCATAATCATGACTTCTTATATCATAGTTATGACTTAGTATCTTATAGTTACAACTTTTTATCTCATAATTTTGACTTTTTTTCGTAAATTTTTGGCTTTTATTCTTATAATTATCACTTAGTATCTCATAATTTTTTGTCATAATCTCAAGTTTTTGTCATAATCATGACTTTTTGTCATAATCATGACTTTTTATATCACAGTTATGACTTCGTGTCTTAAAGTTACAACTTTTTATGTAATAATTTAGACTTTTTGCCATAATTTTTGGCTTTTATTCTCACTTAGTATCTCATAATTACTTTTTGTGTCAACATTTTGTCATTATTATTATCAATGTGTAAAGAATGTATTCATTCTTTGATGAATAGAATGTTCAAACGAACAGCGTTTATTTGAATCTTTTGCAACATTCTAAATGTCTTTAATGCCACTTGAGATCAATTTAATGCATCCTTGCGGAGTAAAAAATCTATTCTTTAAATAATAATAATAAATATAAATTATGATTACATAACCCTAGCACGTTTTCTGATTGCTTTGATTGTGTTACGCATCACAAAAATCACTTGTCTAGTTGTATCACAGTGCAAGACTCCTGTTCTCTAGGAGGATTGTTGGAACTTCTGAGGAGATTTTCTTCAGTTTAGTATCTTAGTTACAACTTTTTATCTCATAATATTGACTTTTTGTCATAATTATGACTTTTATATCATACTTATGATTTAGTATATTATAGTTACAACTTTTTATCTCATAATATTGACTTTTTCGTAATTTTTGGATTTTATTCTCATAATTATCACTTATTATCTCATAATTTTTTGTCATAATCTCAAGTTTTTGTCATAATCATGACTTTTTTTATATAGTTATGACTTAGTATCTTATAGTTACAACTTTTTATCTCGTAATTTTTACTTTTTGTCATAATTATGACTTTTATATCATAGTTATTATGACTTAGAATCTTATAGTTACAACTTTTTATCTCATAATTTAGACTTTGCCAATTTTTGGCTTTTATTTTCATAATTATCACTTATTATCTCATCATTTTTTGTCATAATCTCAAGTTTTTGTCATAATCATGACTTTTTTATATCATAGTTATGACTTAGTATCTTATAGTTACAACTTTTTATCTCATAATATTGACTTTTTGTCAATTTTTGGATTTTATTATCATAATTATCACTTAGTATCTCATAATTTTTTGTCATAATCTCAAGTTTTTGTCATAATCATGACTTTTTTTATATAGTTATGACTTAGTATCTTATAGTTACAACTTTTAATCTCGTAATTTTTACTTTTTTTCATAATTATGACTTTTAAATCATAGTTATTATGACTTAGAATCTTATAGTTGCAACTTTTTATCTCATAATTTTGACTTTTTCTCATAATTATGACTTTTATATCATAGTTATGACTTAGTATCTTTTAGTTACAACTTTTTATCTCATCATTTTTTTACTTTTTGTCATAATTATGACTTTTAAATCATAGTTATTATGACTTAGTATCTTATAGTTACAACTTTTTATCTCATAATATTGACTTTTTGTCATGATTTTTGGCTTTTATTCTCATAATTATCACTTAGTGTCTCATAATTTTTTGTCATAATCATGACTTTTTATATCATAGTTATGACTTACCGGTAGTATCTTATAGTTACAACTTTTTATCTCATAATTTAGACTTTGCCCATTTTTGGCTTTTATTCTCATAATTATCACTTATTATCTCATAATTTTTTTGTCATAATCTCAAGTTTTTGTCATAATCATGACTTTTTTATATCATAGTTATGACTTAGTATCTTATAGTTACAACTTTTTATGTAATAATTTTGACTTTTTGTCAATTTTTGGATTTTATCATAATTATCACTTAGTATCTCATAATTTTTTGTCATAATCTCAAGTTTTTGTCACAATCATGACCTTTTTATATCATAGTTATGACTTAGTATCTTATAGTTACAACTTTTTATGTAATAATTTTGACTTTTTGTCATAATTATGACTTTTATATCATAGTTATTATGACTTAGAATCTTATAGTTACAACTTTTTATCTCGTAATTTTGACTTTGTCATAATTATGACTTTTATATCATAGTTATGACTTAGTATCTTATAGTTACAACTTTTTATCTCGTAATTTTGACTTTGTCATAATTATGACTTTTATATCATAGTTATGACTTAGTATCTTATAGTTACAACTTTTTATGTAATAATTTTGATATAAAAGGCATAATTATGACAAAAAGTCTTAGTTATGACTTAGTATCTTATAGTTACAACTTTTTATCTCATAATTTAGAGACTTTGTCAAATTTTGGCTTTTATTCTCATAATTATTACTTATCTCATAATTTTTTGTCATAATCATGACTTTTTTGTCATAATCATGACTTTTTTATATCATAGTTATGACTTAGTATCTTATAGTTACAACTTTTTATCTCATAGTATTGACTTTTTGTCATGATTTTTGGCTTTTATTCTCATAATTATCACTTAGTGTCTCATAAATAGTTTTTGTCAGTGTTGGAAACGGTGATACATTTTAAATCTCAGGATTCTTTGATGAATAGAATGTTCAAACGAACAGCGTTTATTTGAATCTTTTGCAACATTCCAAATGTCTTTAATGCCACTTTAGATCAATTTAATGCATCCTTGCGGAGTAAAAAAAATCTATTCTTTGGATAATAATAATAAACATAACTATAAATTATGATTAGCACGTGCATCACAAAAATCACTCGTCTAGTTGCATCCCAGTGCAAGACTCCTGTTCTCTATGAGGATTGTTGGAACTTCTGAGGGCATTTTTCTTCAGTTGTGCTCCGCTAAAGTTCCCACACACACACACACACACACCTACGGGCAGGTGAGCGCGTTATTTCCCTGATGAGCGGCTGGTCAGCGCGGATCTCCATCTATCACCCCAGTCGAGCTCAGGGCCGGGACGTGACTGATCACCCGCGCGTGAACTCTGACCCCTGGGGGTCAAAGCGGCCCGCACTGCCACCAGCTGCAGAGAGAGCCCGAGGGAAGTGTGTGTGATATTACACCACTAAATGATGCTATTTATTATGTGGGTACGAGAGACTCGCTGCGAACGAGACGTGCTCGACTTGTATTTCTTTATTAGTTTTCCTCTTTCTGTTTGTCCGCTATCGATTGAGATTTGTTAGACGGACACGTTTAAGGTTTTATCAATAATCTGGACGATTACCCACAATGCCCGGGGACTCGGCCGCTCCACAAAGACGCCCGTGTACAGATATCGATTGTGTGTTTGTGGATAAACTGTATTTTACGAGGGAAGAAGGAAATGTTTGTTCCGTTGAGCGAGTTTGTGTGTAATTTAATGTGCAGTGATGTTTTTATTTCTATCTATTTCTTTGTGTTAGAGGCGTCGTGTGGTGCTTTACTGTACAACTCGTTATTGAGCGGGCTCTTTACGGTTTACATATTAATACAGAACTCATAAAAGGGCCTGAAAATGTTGAGTTTTCAGACTTTGCATAAATATATTGTTAGACATTGATAAATCTTAAATATAATGATATATTAGCATTTACTGGTAGATTAAGTTTATGTGTATTATATAATATTGAGGAAGAACGTCTGCATGACTTATTTTTGAGTAAACATGTATATCTCTTATTATAATCTCCTTAATATTATTTTATGTTAGTTTTGTATCATTAACTGACACATTTCTCAATTTTTCAAGTGATAATCTGTCTATATTATGAAATAAATAATAACAAGAATAACATATTTTTTAAAAATGATCTTGTTTTTTTACTTTCTGAAAAATCTTGGGTTTTTAACTAAATAAGAGAAGAATATTTTAAGATATTGCATAATTTGTATGTCATAATTA